TAAGGTATAAGGAAAATCTGAGCTCAAATTCTCCCAATCAGACTTAGCTGTCTGATCTTGGGAAAATGACTTAGTCTCTCTCAACTGTAGTTTCCTTAAATTTAAAATTAGAAGTTAAATTTGATGATCTCTAAATTCCCTTACAATTCTATGTCTACGATCCTATAAACAATTGTTGAAAGTTGCAGACATATGAATTTAGGTTTGATATAAGTAAAAAATTCTAAGTGATGAGTCACCCCAAAGGAGAATGGGTTGCTTTGTGAACTTTTTTTTCTTACTGGATGACCTTCAATAAGGGTAAGATGTTCATTTGTTTCCACAGATTGTATAGTAGTGGTTCTGAAACTTCTTGGTCTCTGGACCCTTTTATTCTCTTTAAATTGTTGAGGACCCCAAAGTGTTTTGATTTTTATGGGTTATAATTATTGAACCTTATCATCTTAGAAAGTAAAACTGATCATTTGAAATATTTTTAATTAATTAATTAAAAAACTAATATATCAATTTAATTTTAATATGTACATATAATATTTTAATGAGAAATAGATATTTCCCAAAATAAAAATAGTGAGAAGAGTGGTATTGATTTGCATAATTTTCTTATCTCTTTAAAGTCCAAATTAAGGAGAGAAAACTGGATCTAAATATCTGGTTCTGCATCCAATTTACTGTGATATGGCATTTTCATTGAAGTACATGAACAAAATCCAAACTCATACAGATGTGGAGCTGGATAAAAGAGGAGCTTGTTAATAAACAAATAATGTCTTAGTGTTATTATTAAAGTAGTTTTAATCTCTCAGATCCCCTAAAATGCATCATGGACCCTCAAAAGTTCTTGGACCACACTTTGCATACCCCTGTTATAGAGGGTACCTCTGTTTAGCTATGGCTTGTATAAATAGCCTCTGAGGACAGTTCCAACTCCAAAATTTCTTTCCTTTCCCATCTCTCCCAAGCATTAACCATAGACAAGTGTTTCCAGTCCTGATATTTATATAACATTCCCACATCCAGGCCTAGGGATTCCATTGGTCTAATGTGAATCTGTCCCTTGTCTTTTACTTTTTGAACTTCTTACAAAATGGTAAGCATGAGGATCAAAGGACATGATAAACAATAGAGGTGTTTACCAAAGCCACCATATTTGAAAAAAAAAGAGATGATAAATAACGGAGACTCACATTAAACACACACACACACACACACACACACACACACACACACACTGGTACACACAACTGTCTCTCTGCATTGGATAAGGTAAGCAAAACTGGTGAAGAATCTGGCAAAGTGTTTCCCATACTAGGACTTGGGCCCATAGAACCAAATCAACCAAGTTTATCTCCTGGAGTTTGGTCAAATGACACAAAATGATTTGAAAAAAATCCATACTACAAATTATTCTCATCCCTCACCTAGAGAGAATTTGAGGCATGGGGCAAGGAATGATGATCACTCTGACTGGTAACATTACACATTGGGGTCTCTTCTGGATACTGCAGAGGAAGGAACAGACCACAATGATAAGAATATTAGATATCTAAGTGGTGAAAAACAACTATATTTGGATGTCGTTCAGTATGAAACACTGGGATTCATTGAATTATAGAACTTAGGTCACCATTTCTGTTAAGATTTGTATCCCTCCTCTAGCAACCTCTGATATGTAGTGGTAGACATGACCAACAAGGAACCGTGGCTGAAATTAAGGAGCTAATCTAGGACTAAGAGAGAAGAAAGGGCTTAGCACCTGAGTACCAACACTGTTAGTGTATCTTCTGACTGGCCCTATCTATTGATGGCCTTCACTCTGACAAATCCATGTTGTCCAATATTCCCTGGCTAGTGGTAGGTAGAAAGGAAGGTATCTATTCATGTTTTTCATGTAAAATGAGAGGTGGAAAACAGTGAATAAGTGGACAATACTGAGACTTTCTCTGATGAGATGGGCCATTGAAATTCTCTTTGCACACTATTGTCACCAGCCTAAATACAATATAAATGAGTTTCTTTAACCAGTGGCATAAACTGAGAGTCTGTACAGTGAGGAATGAATGAGATAATGGTTTGATTCTCTTGATTCCAGTGGAAAGGCACTAAGAAAACAACTCTTTTAGAGTCTCCATATTTTGTATGCCTGCATTTTGTAATGTGCTAGGAGGCCCATGTGAGTGGATGCCTTGTTATATCCCTCTGTGCTATGAGTATGTACTTGCCCCTACATTTTTCAACATCTTTGGGTGCCAAAGGAGCAATGAAGTGAGGAATGTGTGAAACAGCCTAAGGAAGAAGTTCTTAACATTTTTAGTGTGTCATGTACCACCTTGGGCAGTCTGGCAAAACTCATGGACCTCTTCTTAGAATAATGTTTTTAAATTCATAAAATAAAATATATAAGATTATAAAAGAAACCAGTTATATCTATGTATATCTATCTATATATGTATATATGTTATATATTTATAATATTAATATTATGTAATATTGCATACTATAACATGAATTTGTTATACAGCATATATTAAATTATATATATGTGTATATATATATATATTCTAATGTACACACACAAATGAGAGGTTTAAAATGCATACTCTAAGGTCTTGTAGTTTAAGTTATGATTATCATTCTTCCTGGCAAGAATTCTAAATGTGAAAGCATGGTGCTTTGTGATTCTAACTCTCTCTTCTTTGTCTTTGCTGTTTTGTCAATTATATTGAGTTCTCACCTAAAAAAGTGTCAGCCACTACCTCTGATATTTATCCTGTGTAGCACCCTTAATAGAATGACAGGCTTAGTCCCAAAGACTTAGTTTGAATCCTCTGGCACTTATTAGCTACCTAACTACTCAGTGTTTTTATCTGTAAAAAGAGGAAATAATTATGATAGTACTTTCTTCCTAGGGATGTTGTGAGGCTCAAATGAGATAATATATGGAAGGTATTTTTAAAAGTCTCACTGATATGTTAATATTATTAATTATTATTGGGTCTATTCATTCTTGATATATTCAAAGATATTTTGCTCATTTTTGTCACATGCATTTATAAAAGCCTCCAGTTACCTCTATATTTAATTGTCCTGAGCTATCAAGAAATATCCAAGAGAAATATAGGCGGTTTTGTTTGTCTGGGATCTCTGACTATACTGCTCCATCTCTAGAAACCAAAAACAATATGGAGACCTCATATAGCATGAAATAATTAAGGATGTGAATGGAATGTTTACTACCTTTAGAGTCACCTCTTGAGAAGGGAGTTGTAATAATCTTTCCACAAAAAGTACATAGGCACCTAAGCACCACTCTGTTTCTCCTAGTGCCTGGGCACCAATGGATTTCTCTCTCATTTCCCATGATTGGCTTAGGGTTTTAGAAGATTACCACACTGCAAATGAGAGATAGAAGTGCAGTAAAAATATAGTCACCCTTCCTCTATTGTGTTTTCCTGGGAAGGAGCTGGATTTTTTTCTTACCAATAATGGGAAAGGAAAAATGAAATCAAACTACCTTATCACATTTTAATGTCCATAATAAAAATAAAATGGTCATTATACCCTTTTTCCACTTCTGGTATCTTATATGGAAAGATTATTGCAATTCCTCTTTCAAGATGCAACTCTAAAAGAGGTGAATTTTTCATTCATATCTATTTTTACAATTGTTTCATAATTTTAAAATCAATTTTATTTTGTTTTCAAGTCCATATTCCTCCCCTCTCTGCCCCCCACCACAATTAAGAAAACAAGAAAAACACAACCCATGTTATAAACATGTATAGTCAGGCAAAACAAATTCCACATTGGGTATGTTAAAAAGATACTTCAATCTGTGTTCTGAGTCTATTATCCCTTCATCTGGAATTGAGTAGCATGCTTTTATCATGAGTCCTTTGGAATTGTGTTCTGACCAGAATTCCTAAATATTTTAAAGTTGTTCATCTTTACAATGTTGTTATTGTAAAAATTTTTCTCCTGGTTCTGCTCACTTCACTTTGTGTCAGTTCATACAAGTCTTTCCATGTTTTGTTGAAACCATTCGCTTCATCAGTTCTTACAGAGCAAAAACATTTCATCACATTTGTACACCATGACTTGTTCAGCCATTCCCCAACTGATAGACATCCTCTCACATTTCCATTCTTTACCATCATGAAAAGAACTGCCATAAATATTTTATGCATGTGGGTCTTCTCCCTCTTTCTTTGATGTCTGTGATATAGGCCTACTAGCAATATCACTGAGTCAAAGGGTGTGCACAGTTTAATAGCTTTGGGGCATAATTCTAAATTGCTTTTTAAAATGAATGGACAAGTCCACAGCTTTACCAACAGTGCATTAATGTACCTGTTTTCCCACAGTCCTTCCAGCATTTGCCATTTAATTTTTTGTATCAAGTTTGCCAATCTGATGAGTGTGAGTTGGAACCTCTGAATAGTTTTTTCATTGTTCTAATTATGAGTCACATCTGCTATCCCAAGTAATATGTACAAAAATAATGCTTCCAAGATAAATGAGATAATATTTGTAAAGGCTGGCACATAGTGGGTGCTTAATAAATGCATACTCCTTACCTCTTTCTTCGTTGAGAGACAGAATGCTGTTTTGATTCAGAGCACTTGGCTTCAAGTTCTAGTACTGCCATTTAACTACTTATATGATGCTAATCTCAAACCCCCTCTAAGGTGTATTTCTGCTCAAGGTCTATGATATCGTATTGTCAATCTGTGATACTAAAAAGACAGGCACATGAATGGTAGATATGTAGGAAGGGAAATATAACTCTACAGAAGGAGTATGATTAAGCAGTTTTTATTGTCACATGTTCTCTTGGACAAAGTTCACAATAAATGTAAATAGAAACTTAACATTTTGAAATGATACATATAAATTGCAGAAAATTGCAATGTATTAAGTGTGAGTGAGAAACTACATTTTAAAACAATTTTTCAAAGGTTCCATTATCTTAACAACCATAAAGTTTTTGCCCCACACTTTTATTGGATTTCAGAAGTTCTTTTGCATTTCATGGATTTTTTCAGTGCATCTTTGACATCTTTGTTCCGTAGAGTGTAAATGAGGGGGTTGAGCAGAGGAATGACAAAAGTATAAACCAAAGCGAGCTGCCGATCCTCATCCTCAGAGGTACTGGACCTTGGACGCATGTAGACCAGACTAGCACATCCATATTGTAGTAACACCACAGAAAGATGTGAAGAGCAGGTTGAAAAAGCACGCCGACGTCCCTCAGCAGACCGGATACGTAGAATGGTGTTGGCGATGAAGATGTAGGAGATGGAGATGAGCAGGAAGGGGACGGTGAGCACAAGGGTACCCACCATAAATAGAATGGCTTGGTGCATTTTGATATCCCCACAGGCCAGGCGTAGGACAGGTGGGGCATCACACAGGAAGTGGTTGATTTCCAGAATATGCCCACAGAATGGCAGAGTACAGATAAGTACTGTGAGCTGAAGTTCAAGGAGAAGAGCTAGGCTCAAGGAACCAACCACCAGCTGGATACATCGCTTCTGGGTCATAATTAGGGTGTAATGTAAGGGATGACAGATGGCCACATAGCGGTCATATGCCATAATAGCCAATAGAAAACAATCATCACCCCCAAGAGTAAGAAATATGAACATCTGAGCTGAACAGCCAGCCAATGGAATGGGCTTCTGGGCCCCAAAGATGTTGGAAAGCATCAATGGTACCACAGTAGTCGTGTAACAGATCTCCAGAAAGGATAAGTTAGACAGGAAGAAGTACATGGGGGTGTGCAAGGAGCTGTGGGTACACACAATGCAGATGATGGTAGTGTTGCCACACAAGATCATCACATAGAGGAGAAGGAAGAAACAGAAGAGGAGGGCCTGGATCCTGGGGGAAGTGGTGAACACCCGGAACACAAACTCAGTGGGGCCAGACTGGTTGAGATGGAGAATGTTGGGAGATGACATGTCACCTGCCAAAGTCAAGTCCAGTTAATGGATTATCTAGATAATTTTAAGAACTAATATTTTCTAGAATGATGGAATCATAAAATTTAGAGTTCCAAGAACCTTTACAGATCACCTTGATCAAATGATTTATCGTGCCTGGGCATCAGTATTCTCATCTGTACAAAGAGGGAAGAACTGAATGGACTCATAGGTCATTTCCATTAAAAATTTTCTATGTATTTATTGGACTTCTATGTATTAAGTCCTACAGTCACTCACAGGTATGATATTTTTATTTCAAAGTCCCTTCCCACTCTGACATATCATATTCTGAATTTTAAGGTCCCTTTTAGGTCTGAGATTCTATAAATTTTGACTTTGTAGCCCATGATTTTATTCATGGCTATGTGTGTAACTGGTTTGGGAAATTCCCAAATGGAAGGAACAAGAAGGAATTGTTAACAGATATTGTGAAATGACATTTCATAGAAATCTTTAAGAGACAGGCAGAGACAGAGACATGCACCTTTTTATATCAGCCACTTCAGATGGCCATCAAGACAGTCCTGAAGTCTGAATCTAAGACCTACCAGATGAACTTTTCTTGCACCTGATTTTCCAAAAAAATTCAGACATTTTTATATTAATTAAAATGTCTACATGATGGAATGCATGGATTTCTCACCTTTTCCCTAATATTTCTACTAGAATATCTCTATGTTTGGTAGATTAAGACTCCACTGATGTCCTTCCAGACTTTTTCATGACATGGAATTGACATTGACTTCTTTTCCAGACTTTGGTCATTTCACAGTAGGGGATTTCTTTACAGTTTCCAGTTCCCTTTTGCATGACAAAAGTATTTTTCTAATAATGAAGGTAGAGGGAGCTCTTACCTGGCAAAGGTTCTTCTTTAGAATGGTAAAGAGAAAGGCATGAAGATCAGGAATGGACAGTATATTCTTTTGAGGACCAGTCTAATCTGAGTGGGGAGAGGCTCATTATCAGTCTGACTGGTGGGTTTTTCAGTAGAAGAGCTCTTGGAGCATATCTACTAAGACTCTGAAGGGTTCCAATCTGCACCAGGGTCAAGAAGGCCCACAGCAACAAATTGATTAATTATTGACATGACTAACTGTTCCAGAATCTAGGTGTTTCGTTATCAAGACACAACTAAAATCTTTTCCTTCTAGTCCTGTTATGATTTACTCTCACTCTATTTCTTTCCCATTCCATCATATTCAGGCAATAGCCCCTTCCACCAAAAAACCCTTTGGGTTCTTTCCCTTTTAAGTGCATAATTCATTTTGTCTCTACCTTCTTCTATTAGCCAAGTACTGTATGTAAATTATCTGTTATTTGTTCAATTGTGGTCATTCCTGCTGTAGGAAGTCATTAAGGTTGTGTCAAATCTCTACCTCAGCAGATGAGTCCTACGGAGTTGCTTTAGGCATTAGTGGTAACCTACCCAAGATCACACAGTAAACATCAGAGACAATGTTTGCACCCAGGTGAAAACCTTGCCTCCATGCTAAGGACACTATCTGTTGGGTCAAGCTAACTTGATATTTAATATTTTAAGATGCCAGTTGAATTTTAACACTCAGAATTATTTTTTTAGGTCTACTTTCTTTCCTTTAATGATGTTTTGTTATTTCTTTGAACAATCTTCACTTTTTGTATTCTATCATTCTGTTGCTATAAAAGGGCAACAGATATAGAGTTGAAGGACCTGAGTTCAAATTTCTGCTTTATCTCTGAATGATCACTGACAGTCACCACTCCACTTTAGATTTCACTTCCTAATTTGTAAAATGAGGATAGTCGTTTGTGTAGCTTGTGGGATTATTGTGGAATGAATGAAATAATGCTAATAATGTCCTCTGTACTTGTCAAACAATGTATAACTCTAAGCTATTGTTAGTAATAACTTTTCAAGGTAGTAATTACAATAAAACTCAAGCAATTATAATAAAATTCAGAAGGTACACTATTCGGGCTCCCAGAATAATAATTATTCACAATCTCATAGTGTCAAAGATTTCCTTTTTCCACAAAAACTCTGAGCATTCATTAATGGGAGTACGATTGTCCTGATTTATACATCATTTCTTGAAAGAACCCATGATTTTATTTACCTGAATAATCCTTCCAAAAGTATACATCCCTATGCATCTAGGACTTCTTGTCCTGTCTAACTTTTGTCCATGACCTCCTATGAATCCTTTGTACATGACCTTCATGATGTGATAGAGGTCTTCCTATGGACTTTTATACTGTTCATAGGAATCAGTGTAGCACTTGGGCCATCTCTATCTCTCTTCTTTTGTTCTTGTTATGTGACCAGGCAACTACTTTTTCCGTTGTCTACTCCTTGAATCAAGTATTTTAGTCCACTTTTCCCACGAAAGATATCATTGGTTAAATGCCACACCTACTCAAACTCAATTCTCTGGCTCTATGGGTAACTTCCAATTTTACATTTTTTGAGATTGCGGAATTCTATGATTCCCAGACATATAGAGATGGAATGGCAAAACGTCAGTATTAGAAAAGATAAGTTTTTGTCATGGGCTACCACTTGCGATGACTAAAGGACCCATGTATTTGTCTAAAGGTAGTCAATTATGTCTATTCTTTGCACCTATTCATTGGCTGTCTTTAGTATCTGTCTAAGGTACATGTACACATACACACATACATAGGCACCCACAGATGAATTAGGTTCAAGGCCTATAATTTGCATTGAATGTCCAAGTCACATAGAAATTCTAAATAGATAATGAGCTCCTCCAGATGTTCCTACTTGCAGATGACACCACGCCGATTTAACCATCACTCCAAAATTACATGGACAATCCATGTAGAAAAAAAATAGTGATGAGTAGTACCTATTCCCCAGACTTTGGTCATTTCACAGTAGGGGATTTCTTTACAATTTCCAGTTCCCTTTTGCATGACAAAAGTATTTTTCTAAAAATGAAGGTAGAGGGGGCTCTTACCTGGCAAAGGTTCTTCTCTAGAATGGTAAAACTATTAACAAAAATGGCAATAATGGCTCACATGAAAACACAACTGTAGGTTTTTCCAGCTGATGCGCAAATTCACACCTGTAATTGAGACAAGGAAAAGGAAGAATAAGAGAAAGAAGATTATGAGGACAGAGAAGAGGAGGAAGAAGAAGAAGAGTGAAAGAAAAAGGAAAAAAAAAGAGAGGGAAGGAGCAGAAAGAGAGTAGTTAGTATATACGAATTGCTAATTGTTGAACTAATGTACCTAGGGTTCATACTCTTTGTCTCAAAGCACTGAAGGTCACTATCAAATTGAAAATATCATAGAATGTCAGTCTAAAGGGAACTCAGAAGGTATTCAATCCAAGTCATATTGGAATTAGAATCCCCTCTACAGCATTGCCTATAAGTTGTAATCCAGTCTTGGCTTGAAGACATTTAGTGATGGACAACCACCACCTTCCAAGGCATCTCATTCAACTTGGCTTTATCCTTTAATGTGAGGACATGTTTGCTTTCAGGGACTTGAAATCAGACTCTTAGTAACTTCCACCTATTTCTCCTATTTCTTCTCTCTGGAACCATGCCAAATAAGTCTAATATCTGTTTCATTGTACAGCCTTTTGAGTATTTGAAGACAGTTACCATGTTTCCGCTAAGCTTATTTTACATAAGTTAAAAGCACTTGTCTATAGTTATAAATTTGGGTTTTCGTAGCTGCTAGGTCACTTACCAGCTCTATGGTTTCCTTCCCTGTGAATGAGTTTTCTCCTCAATAAAATAAAAAGGGATTTCATTATATCAGCTCTCTCTGTCTCTCTCTCTGTCTCTCTGTCTGTCTGTCTGTCTGAGCCAGAGCCAGAGACAGATGGACCTGTTTGGTAGTTTGGTGAGACCTATGGATCCATTCTTAGAATAATGTCTTCTAATATATAGGATTACAAAGGAAGCCAATTGAAAGTTAAAAAAAATTTTAAAGGAACATATTCATTTACCCTAGGTTAAGAATTCCAATATTAGATCATACCTAATGTGTCCTGTAGCTTTAATTACTATGATCCTGCCTCATGTCCATTACTTCTTCTGTAAAACTTGTAATGATGCAGAGACTCCATCAGGAGCTAGACAGCTCTCTCTGCCATGGGACTCCACTCTGAACACATGGTCCTGACTTTCTCAGACCAGGGTTGTGATATGAGATCAAGAAGAAACTGAAACAGTGATAAGACAGTGCAGTAGTAAGTGTTTGATTCTTGCATAGATTTGAAGAGGGAGAAGAAAATACTTCAAAGAGGACTAGACAGGAATTTATAAATATTTGAAGGATACTACGGATACATACAGAAGATGCATTTGATTTGCACTAATTGGTCCCAGAAATAGAACTTTGAGCTATGGTTTGATGCAGATTAGAGCCTGGTGAAAGGATACTGTCCCTAAAAGTTTCATTCCAAAGTGAAATTGACTTCTGCTGGAGGGATTCACATAGAGGCTTGGGCTTTTTTTTTTCAGATGTCTTGTAGAGTATATTTATGCTCAAATGTTGGTTGGTAAAGATGCCCTCTGAGATCCCTTTGATATGGGAGATTCTGAGATTCTATGAAGTAATGAATTAATTTTCTACTGGGAACATCCCATTACATACCCAGAACCACAGACTATCACATGAGAAATAATTTATCCCCTTTCTTTATAGAGAAGAATGAGGTCTTCTATGAGCAGTGTCTCACACTCAACATGTCCAAAGGTCTTGTGTCTCCATTCCCCACCTCAATCTTCTCTTCTTCCTCTCTTCATTATGACTGTAGAGGGCAACATCATTATCTCAGTCTCTCAGACTCAAAGCCTATGTATGAGTCATCCTGGATACCTCATTAGCTATTACCTCTCATATCTAAGCTGTTTCTAAGGCCTACTGATTTCACCTTTTGCTACATTGCACCCACCTGCACCTTTCTCACTTCTGACACTGCCACTACTCTAGTGCACGCCCTCAGCATTTCATGC